AGTGTATTCTTTTGTGCATGGCTTCTTTTTGCTCAAAGGTACAATTTTGTTTTTTAATTGTTGAAGAGTATTTCATTGTTTGAATATATCAAAATTTGTGTATCCATTTATATGCTGATGAGCATTTGGGTTGTTTCCAGTTTGTGTTCCCATGAATAAAGCTGCTATGAATATTTGCATTCTTATCAAAGAGTATAGTCTTGGAATTTACTGAAGTCTGATATATAGAGAGTATTTTTTGGTCTGATACATATTTTTGTAAATATTCCTTATGGTCTGATATAGAGTATTTTTGATATATAGAGTATATATGGTCTGATATATAGAGTATTTTTGTAAATATTCCTTATGTGCTAGGAAATAATGCAAATTGTGTGAAGTGAAATTCTATATAAATTTAATACTTCCAAGGTTATTTAGGTCTTCAGGTTTTTTCTCTGCTTGATCCATTAGTCTCTCAGAGGATTTTGTTAAAATCTCCAGTTACAATTTCTGATTTATCTATTTCCCTGTACTATTTGTTGTTGCTTATTTTTAGGTTGTATCGTTGACACGTTTATGATGGGACGTCTCTTCTGGGGTGTCTGGGTGGCTCAGTCAGTTAAGCACCTGCTTTCGGCTCAGGTCATGATCCCAGGGTCTTGGGATAGAGCCCTGCATTGGGCTCCCTGCTCATCAGGGAGCCTGTTTCTCTCTCTCCCTCTGCTGCTCCCCCTGCTTGTGCTGTCAAATAAATAAGATCTTTAAAAAAAAAAAAAAAAAAAGATGGACATCTCTTCTTATTCTAGTGTTCCTTTTACTAGTGTTCATCATTCATTTTCCCTTTTCTTTTGGCATGAACTGTTTTTTCATGTTTTAAAATTGCTACCCAGGATTGCTTAAGACTTTCTGACTTACTTTGACTTTTCTATTTACAAGTGTTTCACAGACAATGTTTCTGGACCTTATATTTATAATTCACTATAAGTAAGTATTATGTAAAACTTAATTGAAGGGTGCCTGGGTGGCTCAGTTGGTTAAGCGACTGCCTTCGGCTCAGGTCATGATCCTGGAGTCCCGGGATCGAGTCCCACATTGGGCTCCCTGTTCAGCAGGGAGTCTGCTTCTCCCTCTGACCCTCTTCCCTCTCGTGCTCTCTATCTCTCATTCTCTCTCAAAGAAATAAATAAAATCTTTAAAAAAAAAAACTTAATTGAATATAACTAAAACATAAAAAATTGAACTCTAAGAGCTTGTTAGGTTTAACTTATTTTACATTCATTTTAACTACTGCTATATATTAGTCCTTTAATCTTTTTTAAGATTTCATTTACTTGAAAGAGTGCAATCGAGAGAATGAGTAGGAGGAGGGGCAGAGGGAGAAGCAAACTCTCCGCTGAGCAAGGAGCCCAACGTGGGACTTGATCCCAGATCAGTACATTAGATGTATTAAATAACAGTATTTTCATCTTACAATGGGTTTATTGGTATGTAACTCCATTGTAAATCAAGCAAGATCTGTATACTCACTGCCCAGGAATTAACTTTACAGATAGCAGGATTGGACTTATGCCCAATAGTGTTGACAGTTTGTGATTACTCTGATTTCACTCCCAAAAGGCAGTTACCTGGCCTGCCAGTGCCCATCAAAAACAGGACTCTGGTCAGGAGTGGCCTTCTTGCAGTTACAAAGCCTTTTCGTGGTCTGTCTCAATTCTTTGCTTAGCTAGGCAGAATGGTGGAGAAATTCTACGTCCCTCAAATAACTCCCACCATACAGCTTGCAACTTACAAAGAAAGAGATGCACTTGAATTAACTGTTGAGATGACTAACAAGATCCACCACCTATCATTTATAGTTTAGTATGGATTAATCAGATGACTTTCCTAATACCAGAAACTAAAGCAATGGGGGAAGGAAGGAGTAAAGAAGACTTGCGTTTTAACCATGAAAATCTTTAAGAAAGGGCAAACTAGAATGATTTGGTGAGGAGTATTTTGCTTAAGGTAAAAATTGAAGTTATCAGGTTCTTATAGAATAAAAATACTATTTGAGGGGCGCCGGGGTGGCTCAGTCAGTTAAGCGTCTGCCTTCGGCTCAGGTCATGATCCCAGGATCCTGGGATTGAGCCCCACGTCAGGGTCCCTGCTCAGTGGGGAGTCTGCTTCTCCCACCCCCCCTGCTGCTCCCCCTGCTTGTGTTCTATCTCAAATAAATAAAATCTTTAAAAAAAATACTACTTGATGGGAAATATGCTATCCATTGGTATAGTCACAGAAACGTTAGTCATGAAGAAAGGAGATTCCAAAGGACATGAATTTACCTGAGATCAAGTCTTCAGAGACTTTTAAGCATTAATATTTTATCTTATGCTACCTCCCTGATGGCAGTGAATAGCAAAAGAACAAGGTACTACAGATTTAAGGTGTCTGAGTTCTCATTTCTGCATTTTAATAATTATATTTAATTTATAAATATAGTATTTAATAAATAGATTTTAGGCTATCTATATACCTATTGGCTTAGATGGCTAAGGAACAAGCATTAATATTAAATATCCAATAATCTGTTTGCTATATGACCATCATTGACATTATCTCTGCTAACACATTTATAAAGCAAATCATATGCATCAAATGCAAGCCTAAGCCTTATGATTACATTAATGATTAACATTATATACTACTTACCAAAGCCCTATGATTAGATTAATAATTAACATCTATCATTTACTATATACCAAGAACTATTCTAAACCATTTAAATATATTAATATATTTAATATAAATATATTTTCCATTTGCTGACTTTAAACAAATCAACTTAGAAAAGTCACAGTTAAACAAAACTTCTGACATGTAAACATACTACCATGTTCTGAAACAGATGTTAACACCTGATAAAAGTTAATAATCACCTGTTAGGAAAGCTGTCCATTAATAAGGTCTTCAGCAAAACTAAAACCATTCTTTTTTTTTTTTTTTCAGTTTTCCAATCTGACAATGAAATATTACCAAATCACAGTCAAAATAAAGACAACACGGGATGGACAGATCAGTACTACAGCTTCGTTATAGCTGTAAACCATTTCATTCTTGGTGCCACATGAAAAAAAATTAAGCCAATAACATCAAATAAATCATGGCTTTTGTTTATCACAATTTACTAAGTGATGTTAACTAAGGTCCTTGTCAAACATGTTTGATAAAGGCTATTTACAATGTACATGGTTGAGCATGCACTATTTATAGTTACAAAGATACCTGCCAGCTTATACAGTAGGATATATTGTGTGTGTGTGTATACAATATATATTATATACATATACAATTGATTGTATATATACACACACACACACCAAGGAATTATAGGTTAAACAATTCCCCTAAGTTACACTAGTAAGGGTGGAACCAGGATTTGAATCCAGACAGACCCATAACTTAGACTCCTAATTATTTCACTACAGTGACTTCTACTTATGTGTATAAAATTCCATGTTTGAATTTAATTGTCTCATTTTCTTTAGTTTCCATCACTTAAGGATTGAAAATGTATCACTGTTGGAACTAATTTAACACATGCCTTTCTCAGATCATTGCTAATGAAACTACCCACCAGCTCTTCTGCCTTTAAGGAGGCAGAAATCTCTTGACACACTATTTTACTTTTCATTTGAACACTAAAAGGCAATTCAGGTGAAGGTTTTAAAAAGTATCAATTTTATACTGAATATTTAGAAATATGGTACACACAGACATGACAGTAATATAAAATGCATATAATTTTAAACTATTTTCTTATAAACCCTTAACATGGATGGCTGACAGCTCCTAACAGACAAAATTTTGGACAAAGGTACCAGATATTTTGGGGGGTTCATTTTAAATACCATTTAGTCATGCAAACACTTAGGTTTTTTAAAAAATAAATATGACAAATATATGGATTTCTGAAGTAGAAACTGACATACAAATCTATATATTTTCATAATAGTTTTCATTAAAGCATCTTCAAAGAAGTATTCTGTAACATGAAGTTGAGAGCTCAAATTAGATGTAATGAAAAGGCATGAGGTTTTATTAGAATTGTGTAATTCACATACTAAATATTTACATAAAAGTAAACACAAAATTGCAAACATAATTGTTTTATCCTCTGAGTCATTAGCTTCATGAAATTACTTACTGGGATAATTACAAGATAAAATTCCCAATTCTGAATGTTAATAATGAAATACATATAGGAGCAGTAAGAGAAAAACTTAATTCTTCCTTCTGAGAAGTAGTGAAAAAGTAATATAATTGCCCCTTGGGGATTGTCAAAGCTTTCCCAGAACTCCTAGGGAATAGATTCTTTTGTAAACAGTGAGAACTAAAACTACATCCCTTTACCAGCACACACAGCTATGATACGCTTTCTTTTCCAAACATACAGATGCTCAGAACTCTGAACTGTAGGTTAGTGAGCTGGGTTAAAATGTTCCTAACATCCATTTCCCCAAAAAGGCAGTTCCAAAGAGGAGGGAAAAATCTATTACCTTTTTTCATTTGAACAGCTTGAATAAAATTTCTACTATGAGTTTAAAGAGAATAATCAATTTCACATAAACAAGCTTGACGGTACTTAAGATAAAATAAATACTAGTCATCAGAAGAGCATATTCATTAAAACATCAAAACTTACTGGTTTATGATACTAATTTAAAAAGTTAGTACAAGAGAGATAAGAGGATTTCCTTGAACTAATTTAGAGCAGTGATCATTAACCCTGACTACAAATTAGAATCACTCCGAGAACTTTAAGAAAACGGACGCATGGCTCCCTTCCTAAGAAATTCAGATTAAATTGTTGTGGGTTGGGGTTGATATTAAAGAGTCCTCCAGATGATTCTAATATGAATTGAGGTCATTGAGGAACATTAATTTGGAAAAATTACTAATCAGGCTGGATTTGATTTAAATAAATTACTTAAAATTCAAATACGAGCACTTCCTACATGATAGGCATTGTTTTAAGTGCAAATAAGGAATTCTTTTTTCTATAAAAATCATTGGATAATATATTTTTTATCTTTTGAATAGCTACATAATTTTATTCAAATGCTACTCAAAGCTTATTATGATCTGCTGTCACGAAAGATTCCCTTCTTTTCTGACTTACCTTCACTTGATACTATAACAGAAGAGATCAAACTCAGAAACTTTTTCTCAAGATATGTGGACAGAACATAAGATTAACATAGATTTCATTTTTCAAGTCACAGTATATGAGGTATTCTCCATCTTATATCTGGAGTCACAAAGCCATAATTTAAAAACTGAAACTGGATATTGCTTTAATGCTGAACAGAATCTCTAAATCAAAAATGACCTATGATTGGTGTCAGTGCTTGATTTAAATTGCCTAAAAAATAATTTATGGCACAACCTCAGGGAACCTAGTACGAGTGGGTCTTTAATGTAGACCATGTTTCCTTGTGACCTATTTATAAAGTATTTCTCTATAAAAACTTATAGTAATATGATTTTTCAAATATACATAATTAGAAATTAGTTATCTCAAAGGAACAGAAATACAGTTTTTGAAATTCTATATAATTAGAAATTAGTTACTATCCCAGGATGATAGCTTTAGCTTTAACATTTTAAATTAAAACCAACTTATCAGGTATTATAAAACTCATCTGAAGTGTATTTTAACTCAAAAAAACAAATCAGAGATAAATTAATAAGTTTATGTCTACCCTTCAACTTAGTTTTCAGGTTTAAATTTGCTAAAACCAACTAACTATTAATCCTATACAACGCTAATTACCTTTTATAGCTGGAGAGCAGGCCAAAACGATGAAATTTTGGTTAAATTGTAATATGTGCATATATAGGAAAATGCAACAGCAATTTGTTTTCCATAGTTGATGGAATTTAAACAGCTTTAAAATTTTTATGAAAGCTCAGTAGTCAAAATAAATATTTAATAAAAATATACACCATAGGAAGATAACAAGAACTTAGTGTTTAAAAATAAACTTTGTCATATTGTTTTGCCTTCAGTTAAACAGAACTCAATTTAGTTGCTTAAGGTATCTAAGAATGATTAAGGTGTGTTTCTGGAACAACTAAAATTCAAATAACAGTAGCGAAATAACGCTAAGATGAAAGAGAAACTATGTTTTAACTCAAAGGTTTAAAGTTATAGTTACTGGGACTTTTTCAGTATAACTAAGATCCTAATAAACATGAATAGTTTGGGGAGTAAAAATTCAAAGATAGTCATGATTATGTGGTTCATGCTGTGAAACTCTCAGTATGTAAAAAAATACAAATACAGTATATATGAGCACCATTAGAAATGTGCGTGTGTGTATATGTATATTTATACTTAAAACTTTACCTGATTAAAAACTGCATTTCAGAGTAAAGTTAAGGACAAAGCACACAATTATGAAAATACATTCTTAAGCTAACATGTCATAGGACTTATTTTAAAAAGTTTCATCTGGCTTTCCTTCTAAAAATCAACAAAAGAATACAACATAAAGGAAGCCAGTATTCTTTTGTGGTGCAAAGTCCCTCGGTTAAACAGAAATTACCAAAGAAAAAAGAATGTGTTCATAAGTGTTTTCAATCCATAATCGATTCCAACAGAAGGTAATGAAGTCAACTAATATGCAAATTCATAGAATAAACCAGCATATGTTGAATTTGCCCACATGGGACTATCATTCAGGCTTCAGATTATTTTTAATTGAGAGTAGTCAAGACTACTCTGCAGAAGAAATCTTCCTTCCGTATAAAAGATATAAATTTGCAAACTGTAATTTAATATTTCTGCCATAGTCACCAAAACTCAGAAAACTGCCATATCTTATACAATACATACCCTGGGGTAAGATAGGTCTTTAATGAAAATCGCATTTTGATCCTATGTAGAGGCAGCTCATGATAGACTGTTACGTGTATACTTGCTATTTTTCAAAGCTCCCAGAATAAGCAATCACATAAGATAGACTGAACTTCTTTGAGGACATTGTGACATGATAAATAATGCTATTCACCATTTAAAATACGTTCAATCTCTTCTAGTCTTTTTAAAGCAGCAACTCTCTTCTTCTCAATTTCTTTGATTTCCTTTGTTGTTTTGTGGGGGGTCTCTTTGTCTGTATTTTTTCCTAATAGTTTGTTGGATTTAGACTGACTTTTATTATCACTTGGTTTTATGATCTGTGTAGGTCTAGGTTCACTTCTTACTTCTTTCACATTTTCAGTTGGAATTTTGTCTCCTTCTACACCTGAAGTCTTACCAGCTGGGGATACTGGCTGTTCTGCAAAACCAGATGAGGAAATTTTATCCCTGACTATATTCAAATGGCGTTGAATATATTCTTCATGTGGTGCTAATGCCAATGTTTCAACCAGGCATCTTTCAGCTTTTAGTAAGTCCTTCTCTTCAAAATAAACAACACAAAGATTGTGTTTTCCTTGCACATTACTTGGATCCATCTCCAAAATCTTTTCAAAACATTTTTTTGCTCCAAGTATATCTTTCTTTTGATTCATCAGAATGTCTCCCTTTAAAATAAGACCCTTGATATGATCAGGATAGTGTCTGAGTAACTCTTCCAAAATTGGCAAAGCCATTAATTCCTTTGCTGTCTGAGAATACAGGAGAGCCAGATTAAACAAAGCACTTCTGAAATCGGCTTGTAATTTTATGGCTTTCTTCATCCACATCTCTGCTTCACTGTCCTTTTTGTCATCCATGGCAAGCATTCCCAGATTGAAATAACCATTAGCATCTTGTGGCTCTTCATTTATATAGCTTAGAAGTCGTTTTCTAGCTTCTGGTCTGAGTTTAACCTCACCTGAGAATAATTTAAAAAAAAAAAAACAGATTGTTAACAAATGAATTAAGTCTGAGGAACAAAAGCCACTTTCAGTATTTATCTAGTTAGATTAGAAAAAGACAGCATCAAAACAACTAATCTCTGTACCTAAATCAGAAAGTAGAAAGCAAAAAACTCAAAGTTTTCACAGGAAAGACAGTGTGCTTGAAACACTGAAATGATAGCTCATTTCCTTTCCTTTAAGACAGCAAGAGTGCCTCAAAAACCTGAAGGGGCAAAATATCTCTTTATAGTTTAGAATCAAACTGGGAGTAGAGGAAGATTATGCAATTAAGAAGAACAGGCACTGGATTTGCCTACAATGACATGTATTCAATCTTGATTCTGTTAACACTGACTTTACACATTAAACAAACCATTTAACTTCTCTGGATTAGCCTGCTGTATTTTCTTTTTTCTTTTCTTTTTTTTTTTTTTAAGATTTTATTTATTTGCTGAGAGAGAGAGAAAGAGAGAGTGCACGTATGTGCGCGCAAACAGGGAGAGCCCGATTGTGGGGCTCGATCCCAGGACCCTGGGATCATGACCTGAGCGGAAGGCAGACACTTAACGACTGAGCCATTCAGGGGCCCCAGCCTGATGAATTTTCTAAGAATTACATGAGACATATGTAAAAAAGCTCAGGAAATAGTAACTATTATTGGATAAACAAAATGCTTCATCTTACAAAATCAGATTTTCTTATATATTACTTCAAATTTTTTAGGACTTTCAAAAGGTAAAAAAAAATACCATTAAACATAAAGCTTATATATTTAAATATAAATTAGGATTCAAGAAACAAATATTTGAGATAATTTCTATTGCAAATAAATACAAAAAAACTCAAGTTCCACAACTACAAACCTTAGGGTACAATCTTGTGTTGAAAAATGGGCATTTTTCATGATCACCAAGGTTAGCTAACTTTACAAAAATATTAGCCTTTCTCTAAATTTAGGTTTTGAATACCAGCCATAAAGATCTCCTATTCTTTTGACAATAAGATGAATAAAAAAAATTATAAAATATATCAGTTGGCTTAAGTTCTTATCTTTAACTAGTTACTAAACTACCTACATGAAATTTGGTGTAGTTATTAGATCTATTTGATCCTTAATATACAAATAGAAGACCGGCAAAAGTAAACTCAAATACCCTCTTTAACTCAAATACTATGATTTTATGATTTTTTTTTTTGTAAAAGGTTTTGAAAAGTATCTAAGATTTAACTACAAAATGTAAATGTAGATTTTTTTTTCCAAACTAAAAATCAAGATATAAATTATATATATCACCTTCTGTTGCAGTACTAAAATACCCATATATCAAAGATCCTAATTTATTGTCATGAATAATTTAGTTTTGTTAAATTACAGGAAATTACAATAATATCTCAGAAAATAAAACTAGATATAAAATGATTCCAAAAGCACTTGGTCACGGGCGCCTGGGTGGCTCAGTTGGTTAAGCGACTGCCTTCGGCTCAGGTCATGATCCTGGAGTCCCGGGATCGAGTCCCACATCGGGCTCCCTGCTCAGCAGGGAGTCTGCTTCTCCCTCTGACCCTCTTGCCTCTCGTGCTCTCTATCTCTCATTCTCTCTCTCTCAAATAAATAAATAAAAACTTTAAAAAAAAAAAAAAGCACTTGGTCATACAAATCAAGAGAAAATACATTTTTTTCCTAAAACATATAATGCTCTTGTCTCCCCAGAAATAATTATATAAAAAATTTTGCAAGTTCTGATTATTTGGATATGGTGTAATATATATATGTAAGAGATTATTTCTGTATATAAAATGACAAAATACATTAAAAAGGCACTGCTTAATAGACTACCTGAAAAATAAGTCTTAACATATCCCCAAAGAACTAACAATTGTGTTAGAGCATATTACTTGAAAATCATACTTCAAGTATTTTAAATATTCTTACAAATAATTTATGTACAGTTTTGATACAAACTATCCACTCATAAAACATTTCCCTCAGGTCATGTAAGTTCAGATTTTATTATATTTCAAACAATATGTTTAAATATAGAAACATTTTGAGAAAACATACCTGATTCTTGCATTAATATAGCAGAATTGAATAATGCTAGTTTATGCTTTGGATTTAGTTCTAAAGCATGATTAAAATTTTTTAGGGCTTCATTTGGTTCTTTAAGTTCAATATGAACAATTGCCAAGTTGTACCAAAGATCTGCATTATTTCTGTCCAGCTCTAGTGCTTTAAGATATGCTTCTTTTGCTTTGAGAGGTTTATTCATTTTTAAAAGCAATTCTCCTCTGTGGAAAAAGATCAAACACAAGCTTTACTCACATTACCATGTCAATTTGTAGACATTATTTTTCACAAGTTTTAAGCTTTTCCACATACTCACAGCTTTCTTTTTTCCTTTTAACCCAAGCTTTTAAAGTTTTCTATCAAAAATAACTATCTGAATATGTCCTCAAACCTGAACTCATTAGTTTAGCAAATTTGGTTATGTTTTCAAATATTTATTAGAGAAAGACGTTTAAAGGGTAAGATATGAGGAGGCATCCAATAAAGGGGGATAGAGAAAATATATTCTTTATGTACATCTTGAAAGAAGGCAGACTAGACTAAACTACATCAGAAAAATGACATTAAAAGAATGGGAGCAATTTTTCAGGAGATCAAGTAGCATTTGAAGAATGAATATAAATACAGTGGTGATGGGGAAATTCCAGTATGCAAATCTATGTTTTAAGTCTCATTTATAAAGAGCAGAACATTTGAAAATTTTGCCTTTTCTTACATAAATTCACTCTTCTACAATGTATTCTTATAAAATGGCCAGTCATTAAAACAAAACAAAAAATTCCCCAAAACAACAAAAAAAAAGAATTTAAAAAGCTGATTGGGTAATGGTTGGAGGGTACTTGTGCGACCAGCAGAAAGCTATGAGGAACACATCTGGAACTGAGGATCACAGTTTAAAAACCATTTTACAAATCTTTCTAATATGTTTCTATTTCCTGTTAGAAAGCTTAAAAAAGTCATGTGCAAATCAATTTGATTAGTGATAGAAGAGTTACTTTTATTATGATCCTATTATTTCCTTAAGTATTAGCATAGGAATGAAATCAAATGAACCACTAATATTCTCAATTAAAGCAACTTCTGGAATGTGTTTGTCCAAAATGTTTTTAAATGCAGATTACTGAATAATTCTTCATAGATTAACACATCACAGGTTTTATTTACATATGCAACCCCACTAAATTTAGCTAATTTCAACAACTACTGGATAAGGCTGAACAAAGACAGCCTCCAACTTATGAACAGATTTTATCTCAAAAACTTACTGATTTCTGAATGCATTTTCCCCACAGAAGCAATATTATAAATTATGATTACGTTTTTGGCCAGACTACAACATGAAGTTTAACATATAATTTTCCTCAAGTATAATACAAATGATAATCCTTACAGGGGAAAATAATATATTAAGTTCTAACATGTGATGCCAAAAGTTTTTTTTTACTGACAACTAAAAAGTTTCTTTTTGGTAAAAAGCATCAATAACCAGTCAATTGTCAGAAAGCTCTTGAGAGTTGGATATTAGAAGTAATTATCATAAAATGTAAGTTTCAGGTGTTTTAAGTAAAAATTAATGTGACCATAAGAAGCACATGAAACTAAAAAGGAGTTTCTACCCTTTCTTTCGTATAAAACCTAAGTTTACCACTACATGTTACAGACTGTTGCCAATTTCAAATCATATCAATTAAATTTGATCATTAAGTCTAAACTAGGCTATGTTTCTATATTCTTGGTTGCTGACTAAGATTACTAAAAGAAAAAAAAGCCAATTTAGTTCAGATAGTCAAAATGTACATGCAGATGCAGCTTTAATTTTCTATGACAGCTTAAAGAGAACTACAATACCTGCTAATATAAGCCTGCTTGAAGTCAGGTCTCATGCTTATTGCTTGTCGGTACAGCTGATCTGCTTCTTCCAGGCGGGACTCATTTGCTCGAATAAGATTGGCCAGATTAATATAAACATTTAGGTGGTTAGGGGCAATTCTGGCTGCATATTTTTTACCAGGAATAATCTGTTCAGAAGAACATAATTTGATATTTCAGTACCAAATAAAATAAAAAATAAGTATTCCTAGTGGCTTACTTAAAATATACATGACATATAAAGGTTATGGTACTAGTTTTATTGCCAAATTAAAATAAGTCATAAAAATGTGAAAGCACCTACAGTAATTACAAAATGTAAATAAAATAATATTTTGTGGCATTAAAGGATATATTTTTCATTCATGCTAGCTCAACAGAATATTGTTAGATTTTATTTATTTGAATCATTTTATAAAGTCCTATAAATCTAAACTCTTGAGGCTAAGGTCTGTTAATATATTTGCATCAGACCCAGAATAGAAAGAACTCAGGTCTCCTTCCCTTCAGTCTAGTGTATTTGTTACACCATGTCAACTTCCATGCTGTCAGCAAAATATTTCCTGGTTGTGACAATAGGGTGGTTAATTTTATTCAGAGTTATACTAAAGCCTCACTTGTCTGGTAGAGTTAGGAAATAAAATGCTCTTATAACTGATTATTCAGGTTAAGCAAAGGTTATAAAATATACATAGACCCAAATTTTCAGTGAAAATAATAAACTGTGTCCGATAAATTTTATATTGAACACAATTTAACTTTAGAATCTTGACTCAAATAGTGCTTAAGATATCATGTGGTCCAACTTTGTTTTTAAAACATTTATCAAACTACATCCACTCATTTTAATATTATCATTATTATTAATATAATATTAAGATATACTACCATGGAGAAAACTGTAGTGCAGGGTAAACTATCTTTTCTGATGAAGCATAGCTGGTCAAGGCCAGGATCTGGCTTTCCAACTTCCAGGCTATACTGTAATATCACTTGATCTTAGCCAAAAGGCCGAGAAGCCATTATACTGTAATATCCAATGAATCTTGTGCTTGTGTTATTGTAACAACTGAACACCATACAGCAACAGAGATTTATCCATTCATTTTATTACTTTGTTTTATTCATTTATCTTTTGAGAGGAATAATGCTGAATTTAGTGCTTAATGTACATATATAAAATTCTCTTTAAGGTCATTTAATTCACTGATAACTTCTAATCAAGGATATCTAAAATTCATAACTTTATAAAACTTTTTAAACATACTCTACAGAAAATTTTTTTGAGTTAGAAAAGTAAATGTAATCCTTTATAAAACTTGTAGTATTATGCTAAGTGAAGTAAGTCAGAGAAAGACGAATACCATATGATCTCACTCATATGTGGAATTTAAGAAACCAAGAAACAGACTCTTAAATATAGAGAACAAACGGCTACCAGAGGGGAGGCCAGGGGCGGGAGAGATGGGTGAAACAGGCATTGGGGATTAAGAAGTGCACTTGTATTTAAGTGCTGAATCACTATATTATACACCTGAAACTAAGTATTACAGTGTTAACTGGAACTTAAATAAAAACTTAAAAAAAACCCTTGTAGTAATAAATGGTTTATTGGATATTTTATTTTTATGTCAACAAATTAAAGATAAGGATTTTCCATCTAGGTAATTCTATTCAGTGTGGACATACAGTGGATATAACACAATAAGAATAAATTATGACAACTTACTTGGGGCATCAGTGACTTAGCCATCATGTAAGATTCTTCAGCTTCTTTGGTTCTATTTAAATTTTTGTAAGTTCTTCCTACATTCATGTGGGCACCAATATCATCTAAAATTAAAGAAAAATCATTTGTTGGCAAATATACTAAATAGTATTCAATATAAACTACATGTTTCTAGCAACAAAACCACTAGGCAAAAAATGCAAAAGCAGTCAACAGATCCTGCATCCTCTTTAAAGTTCTTTTAAACACAATTTATTATAATTTATGATCAATGCTACACTACAAAATTATTTAATACTGTAAGGACAGAATATACACATATGACAGGAAAAAAAACTATTTGAATGGATCCTTGAAAGGCTAAGACCTGACAAGAGATATAGAGATAATAAAGAAATTTGTATCATTTCTCTTCACTAGATTTACTACACTATACTATGGCTTGCTTCCATTTCCTTGATTGCATAGCTCTGGAATTCACTCAAAAAGTATGGCTCAACTCTAAAAGTGAAAAGATCTACAAGCGAAAAAGAGCATCATGATTCCTAGAAGTATTTCCAGTGTTGTAACTAACAAATATGCACCATGGTGGGACACAGGCAAAGAGACTGTAAAAAAAAACCTGTGATTTTGTTTAAAATTTTTGTGAATGTGGATGGAATGCAAGTATAATACCAGGATTCTCCAGTATTACTTAAGATGCAGCAGCCCATCTCTCTTAAATGATAAATTCCTACCTATTTATGCTTTTTTTTTTTAAACCTTTATGTCTTTTAAACCTTTTAAAAAGGTTGTGTTACTATCAGTATGTCTGAAACTTCTGTGTAATTTTCTGATATGGAGAATCAAATTCTCAGCAAATTTTTTCAGGGACAGAAAAATACACTATTTAAATAAGAAAGATGTTAGTATTCGGATTCATTGCACACTACTTTTAGGACACATCTCCTAGTAACTATTTCAAAGGTTTGGCATAAAGACAGAAAGATGGTAGATCTTAAATCAGACAAATTTTACTGAACATACATGAATCTCTAACAGAGAAGACACGATTACTACCTGCCTGTGACACCAATGATTTTGCAACTGTGGAATAATTCTCTGCCTGCAAATCCTAGGACACACAGGAGCCAAGCATAGATATCTTAGGCATTGCCCTAGGAGGAGAGTAACAGTCCTAAGATCTTGCTGCATTATATTTCAGGCTGGTAATTGTGTGCACTGAACAGAAACTGTCACATGCAGTACAGGTTTGGTTAGAGAATTCAGAGACAAGCTTGGGAAGAAAGCGTTGATTTTTTTTGTTGTTACTGATTTTTTGATTTTTGATTTGTTGAGTTTTTGTTGACGTATTGCTGAGTCTCATGGTGTTTCAGGAGAGGTCAAGGAAAAAAAAAAAGGAAAAAAAATTGCTTGGGCAAACCATTCCCAATCTTAGTTGCAAATCTGGATACTTATGAATTTTAAAAATTCAGATAACCTTAGCGCCACCTAGCTCTAGCAAAATAGAATCCGTAGAAATAGGACCTGCATAAGTGTTTTTAAAAAGTTTCAAAGGCAGTTCTGATGTAAAGCCAAGGCTGAAGTTCACTGTATTACCAAGTGTGTAGAAAAAGAGTAGGTAGTCTTTGCTCTTACATAGCTCAGTTTTTTTTAACATCAGATAAATCTTTACCATTTATTATAGAGATCAGAAAGCTACTTAAAACCAAGAACCTGAAAAAATTAATTATAAAGTAAGAAATTTAAGCTAAGGAAAGAACAAAGAAATTGGAAGTTTAGATAAAATTATCAGCGAAGTATTTAAAATGTCACTGATATCAGCCCCAACAAATCTTAGGAAAGAAAGAGGTTATCTACTTGGATGAAAGACAAGGCAAATTAATACCCACTGGAATCAGGTTCTTAAAATTTATTTGCGAGAGAGAACACAAGCAGGGGGAGCAGCAGAGGGAGAGGGAGAAGCAGGCTTCCTGCCAAGCAGGGAGCCCGATGCAGGGCTCAATCCCAGGACCCTGGGATCATGACCTGAGCCAAAAGCAGACGCTTAACTGATTGAGCCACCCAGGTGCCCCTTAAATACATATTTTTGATAAATATTCAAATAAATCCAATACAGTATTAAACAGAAAGTTATAAATATCATAGGAAAGATATAGACCTTGTAAGAGTTTTTAAAGATTAACAATATTTGCTTCTAATTGGAGAGATAGCAAGGTTTATTAAAGAGAAGCCACGTGAGATAGGTTGTAAAAGATGGATAGGCTATGGTAAAAGGTAGATGGCAAGGGAGAAGGGAGGAATTCTAGGCTCAAGGAAGAACATGAACAAAGGCAAAGAGGTGAGGAAGCCAAGGATATGTACTCTATACTTCAAGAAAAACTAACGACATAAAGAGCTAGGGAAGATAAAACTGAAATGTTTTATTTCTACAACTTTCTCTTCACCTTTCTCTAACTGAAATTTGGCTTCGCCTTGGGGATGTGGTTTTTTACATGTAGCTCGTCCAAGTCGTGACCGTGTTCTTTTTATTCTTTGCAACATTGGGCCTGGAGGAAGAGTAGCTGTCCTTGGTGATCTTTAACACTTCCAGACAACTCTTGCTCCTTCTTAAAATCACTAGTCTCTGAATTTCAGGTCATTAAACTCTATTATAATTCACTATCCTTTGCTGCAGTCACTATTCTCTGAGTCTAAGTTCCTGGCTCTTCATGGTTCTCATAATTCTTAGTGATTTCAAAATCCACAAAGACAAATTTTCTAATACTTGGCCTTTGATATCCTTTCTTCCAATGATTTTCACCTCCATCTTCCTTTAACTAGTTAGTTCAATGACCACAGTTCATATCTAATAGACAGACAGTGGGTATTGCTTGCCACTCCCCACTCCCCTGAGGAAATTTAGAAATGTGACCAGGGTGTAGGATGTGTGTGTGTTGAGGGGTGGGGGAGTACCTTTTGGTCATCATTCTGAATGGAAAGTAATGATGGCATTTGGTGGATGGGGACCATGTTTGGGACATATCCTGAAATACATTTCTATACACTCAAAATGCCAATAGTATTCCTCTTGAAAAATACTGATGCTCTAGCTAGATCCTACTCAGACACCAACAATTCTTCAGATCTAAAATCACTGATCCTATAACCTTGCCTCACCTCCCTTCTTAACTTAGATTCTTCATCCATTATAATAATTCCCTTATCTGTTTCTTGTTTAGTAATAACACATTTTAAAAAGCCCTAATCCTGTTTAATGGAATTCTCCTTGCCTGGGCCATTTCAGCTGTAAAGTAATGAGAGAAAAGCATATAAGTACATGAACTAGTTTAAATTTAAATAAAGTATTCCTAACCTCAAGTATGGTGTTAAAACTGCTTGGCAATTATACATTTTCCTAGTCTACACACTTTCCTATATCTTGTTTCCAAAAGTGTGATCCATGGGCTAAGCATCACTTGGGAACTCAGAAATGCTGAACTTCAGGTTCTATTCTAAACCTCTATCCATCAGAACGTGCATTATAACATTTCCGTGTGATTCATGGGCACATTCAAGTTTGTGAAGCACTGTCCTAGTTAGCTACCTCACACCCTCTCCTGTTCTTAGATCTCCAGAACTTCGACTCCTTCCCTCACTCTCTGATGACTCTTTCTATTTCAATGAGAAAACAGAAGCAAAACAGAAGGCAATTTTCAGAAACTTCCTCCAGGTGATCTATTCGACTGCCTATATCCACATCTATGTACTTTGCCTTCCTTGTTACTATACGTTAACTATTCTATGACTGAATGACGTCCTTGTGCACCAAATTCTATTTATCTCTTCTCATCTATTTAAGGACAATGATCCAGTAATTTGTCTCCCCATCTTGAATTATCACTTTTCCCAGCCTCAGTGGATTAGCTGCACATATGCTTTGTTTTTCCCACCTTAAAACTGAAAACAAAAAATCCCTATCATCCTACTTACCTTCTCTTGACTCCATTTCCGCCAATACCACCATTTCCTATTGACACTCTTTAAGAGTTTTCAATACCAACTGTCTCCAATTATTCTTCCCCCACTCTCCTGAACACACTCCTATCAGGCTTTTGCATCTATCATTCCACCAAAATTGCTCATGAGTACCACCCAACTCTGCTATGTTAAAAAAAAAAAAAATTCCTTAAATGTCTAAGTAGCTCTAATATATAATCTAATTCAAAATAAGCATCATCAAACACTATAGTATTCATATCACCTGGAATGAAGTTTGAAAATGAAAAACTCTACCTTATTATCCCCAAATATAATCAAGTTTTTAAAAAGAAGCTATTCAAATAGTTTTATTAATTAATAATGCTTACCTGGCTGAACATGGGTAGCCTGTAAGAAGTATTTCAAAGCTCTCTCAAAGTTCTTTTCATTTTCCAGAGCATGACCCACATTATTCCATAATTTGGCATTATTTTTATTTACCTTCAATACATAAGCATAGATAGAAATTAATTATAATTAAAAAATACAACTCCAATTAACAGTTATTTATTTGGTATATCATAAGGAATGGAGTGTTCCACAGAGGCATCCATGAATGGGTGAGGTGCTCAAAGACACAAGCTTTCAGTTATGACAAATAAGTTCTGTGAATATAATGTACAGCATGGTGACTATAGTTAACAACACTGTAATGTATATTGGAAAGTTGCTAAGAGAGATCTTCGAAATTCTCATCAAAAGAAAAAAATTGTACCTATGTGAGGTGATAGAAGTTAACTTACTGTAATTGTTTTGTAATATATACAGATATCCTTATGTTGTACACCTTATACTAATATAAAGTTATATGTCAATTATACCTCAATAAAACTTGAAAAAATAATTCAGATTTTCTCTCAGAAAAGAAAAATTTGTATATATACCTCCAATTAACAAAGATATTTGTTTCGTGTATTATTAGGAATGGAGTGTTTCACAGAGGTATCCCTGGAGATGAGAAAGGAGCCAAATGAAGTGTTTCACCAAATTTACTCTCCTTCCTTTTATATAAACATACTAAAACCACAGCAATCTGATTTCATCTATTTGATTTATTAGAATTTTACTAAAAATTTTATTTGATCAAAGCATCATGGGGTGCTTGGCTGGCTTAGTCAATAGAGTATGCAGCTCTTGATCTCGGGGTCATGAGTTCAAGCCTCACACTGGGCACAGAACTTACCTAAAACAAAACAAAACAAAACAAAACAAACAAAAAAAACTTCATCGTGCTGTTTGAAAACTCCTGCTCTACTATCTGTATTCTTTTGGGAGAGAAGGCATCTGAACATGAGAATATGTTTAACATTTTTTTTTTTTTAAAGATTTATTTATTTATTTATTTGAGAGAGAGAGAGAGAGAGAGCACATGAGAGGGGGGAGAGTCAGAAGGAGAAGCAGACTCCCTGCCGAGCAGGGAGCCCGATGTGGGACTCGATCCCGGGACTCCAGGATCATGACCTGAGCCGAAGGCAGTCGCTTAACCAACTGAGCCACCCAGGCGCCCAGTTTAACATTTTCTGATTACTTATTTTTAGGCTTGTTATAAAGCTATTTATGTAGTCCATTATGGTAATGGGAAACATGGGATTAAAGTTCTAAATTAATCTGTGCTTTAAGAGTTCACAGATGGGCATGATATTCCTGCAGGGAGAGGATGGTACCTGGCCAAGGAACTAGCCTCAATGAGTGGGGCTGTGGTTTTGAGATTGTTCTAGGAATAAAGATAAGCAAAATTCTTGAAAATTAGGGGGCTCCATTGGTATTCCAGGACTGCAGATTAAGAAGAATAGTAATGAGGTCTCTTTTGTTTACAGACTTCTGAGCTAGAGGAGGGAGTGGAGTTACTGAGTGAGACAAAAGGATAGTCATGTGATCTTAAGTTGATGCAAATCAAAAAGTCACATAGACTACTGGAATGAGGCAGTATTCCAATAAAGCTAAGCAATGGGGAGTATAGAAATAGTCTAAAGGAAGTTAAGAATTTAGAGTTGTGAAGAGAAGCACCTGAAAAAAAACATTGCTTATAACATACAGAAACCAAATTTTATGATTTTTAAAAAGACATTATTCCTATATGTTGTCCATTCTATAGAAATGCTTTATTACTACTTTCTGCCCGTTCCTATCTTTCCTACAGTATTGTAACCTTGGTTATCTTCCACATAGTAGGGTGCCATTTTTTGTTATGTATTTTATTTCATTGAATCTAAGATGCCATCAATTCTAAGACTCACCATTAAGAAAACAAAAAAGCCTTCAGAATAGAACTTACCTAAAACAAAACAAAACAAAATTACAATTCTACAGAATTGTAAGATGCCTCTCACTGTAAGATTTATTCTGATTTTAGAGACGTTAAAAGGTTATAAAACAAAAGTTTGCCTTCAGAACTATGAACTATATATAGTATTCTTATTTAAAGATTTTATTATCATTTGAGCGTCTAACAACCGTATAGCATTTAAGGAATTATTCATATATGCCATAGACATACCAATTAAATACAATTCAAAGCACTGGTTATGGTATATATTATTTAAAGAAAAATCATTTTTACTAATCTTTTGGAGAAGTACTTAAAATTGAAAGTAAAATGTCTAATTAAATGTAAAAACATCTTAGACATGACTATAAGAAATCATTAATAACATACTTTCCTGTCATTCTGGATAATACTTTACCTTCAACGCTGACATAAACAATGTATATTCAGACTCCCAATCCCAATTTCTGTGGAGTGTTTTTAAGGCATGAGTGAATATCACCATAGACAGACAAACCCAGGATAACTTTTTTAATACACTGTTTAAGAGAAAAAAAGCAAAACAAAAAAACCATTGTCTACATCACCAGAAGCATTTTAGCTTTTAGAATAGAGGTAAAAAGTATGCTAAATATCCCCTAATATCATCTTTTGAGTTTATGCTAAGGAATGAGGATTGTTCTAATAATCGTCTAACTTCAAAGGGAACACCAAAAAAATTAAATATGCATACTACCTTCTACTTCAGTCTTTAATGATATTAAATTCCAATATTTGCCTCTATTTCAAAAACTCTGTTTACATATAATGGCAAAAAGCTGACAAACCAATTTTTAACTGTGACTTTTCCTTTTTGGGGCCTTTACTTAAAATTTGAATATTTTTGTGTTTATCAAGGGTCAATCTTGTCATTGGCTATATTAAAAAAAATCTGGCTTACAGATTGCATCTATACCACAGGTTATCATGACATTCTTGGAATAATTTCATATTTTAAAGCTAGAATTATTTATTACAAGTCATAGTAAAACTCTATGAAATAGATACAAATTACTTATACAGCTTTAGGCTAATTATTTGGGACTCAATTCCTCGTCTATAAGAAGGTTATACTTCAATTATCCCTATGGTCTCATTTAGTACTAATGTTCTCGGAGTCTATGTTTTTGTCTTAGTAACCCAGTTCAACTTCTTTCATTTTGAGAGATCCACTGGATTCTTTGAGAGATCCACTGGATCAGAAAGAACATGGACCATGGAGCCTAAGGAAAGGAAAGGAAAGGAAGAAAAAGCATGGACATTGGAAGCAGTGAGATATAAATTTGAATCAAAATTCTACTGTTTACTAGCTGTGTGATCTTGAGGTAACCTGATTTAAGTAAGCTTTAATTTTCAAATGTGCACAAAAGAGTTAAGGAATATTAGATTAAATAAAACAAATCTAAAGGGTCTAGCATGGCTCTTGGCATACGGTAAACACTCAAAAATTGGTATTGATTAAAATTGGATATATGGGTAGAAGTTAAGAGAAAAGGCCTAGTAGATGTTAGTGAAAATTGTAGACATGAATGAGATCATCCAGGGAGAATATGCAGTGTGAGAAAAATGGCTGAGTAAAACTCTGGCAAATAAAAAATATTTAAAGAGCAAGTATAGCAAGAAGACTCTGAGATGGGACTGAGCAGCAATGAGCAGACATGGAAGAGAATTAGGAAAGAGACTTTTTACAGACACCAGGGAAATAAATTTGAAATACAAGCACTGATTGGATTTAGCTACTAGGAGGCAATGATGTAGAGACAAGTCAGAATGCTGCGGGTTGAAGGATGACTGGAAAGTGAGAAAGCAGTCAGTGGCCATTTCTTGCATATATACAGTGTGACTATTCTGTCCCTTAATTGTTAGTTTAAGGCAACTAGGACATGGTGGTTATGATGCAGATACTGATGATAATCAAGAAATTATAAATTGCTTACTATATGCATTTATATATATTAACGCAATATGACTCAAGTAAGAAGACTATATCTTAGTTCATTGCATATCAAAGTGGCAATAGTCATTTATAACTCTAGTCTCAACAATATCCTTGTTTTCATTTGGGTCTGACTCAAAGTTTGTTACGTTGCAGGCTGTACAATAAAATTATATTGATAATAATAAGAACATAGAATGAAGTGGGTGCTATGGAATTTTCCTAACCTGAATTACAGAAAAATGAGGAGACTATCAAGATGAAAAATAAAAAAGGTATAAAAGTAGGACTTATATAACTGAACTAAACATTTTAAATACTTAAATGCATCATGCTTAATTCTATAGTTAGTAAGCATTAAATGAACTAACATTTTAATTCACCTTTTGTTTGATATTTTCTGCCATCCATGGGCTACCAAAATACAGAACCCCATGCTAGGAACATACAATACTCGCTCAGCAACAACAAATCCAACTGGGAAAAAAAGGTTCGATGCAGGAATAAATGGTAATGCCATCAAACAAAGTGCCTATAAAGAAAAATAAGATATTTTAGTAAGTTAAAAAAATATACGGACACTCAAAAGTTAAACCCAAATATTTTATCATTTAATTTGAATAATGTATTGGTGGACCATTTTTAATAATACTATAAATAATACTAATTTAAACATAAAGATGGCAACTTAGGGATGGTAACAACCAACATCAGGATGTATGTCACCAAGGTGAGATCAAGCTAGGACTTCTAATTAGGGCTATCCAATTAAATATTTTTTGAAAATATATCTAAAATAAGACTAATAATTTTTATACATACAACTTATGTTTGTATGATAAAAATACACTGACAGAGATGTTAACAGGTTTTAACAAAACTGTAACGGGGGACAAAACAGCCAATCATGCCAGTTTTTATATTTTTATTATTGTTAAGTATTCATATCATCCTTTAGACAAGAGAGTAGACTACTACATCTATACCCCAGCATTCTTTTGCATAATACTCTGATGAGTCATATACATTTAATAGAGGCTTAGCATAAGTATAAAAATAAAACTGCCCCCTTTAAACAGTAGTCTTTTATTCTATAAGAATTTCTAAAATTCTAACACTGTACATTGAAATAAATCATAAAAATGCTTAGATTATTTTTGTCATTTTGAAAATGAGATAGCATATGGCTTCCAGACTATAAAGCCATTAAAAAGGCAGGATACAAACAACTAGCACAAATAACTTGTGAAAGGAAATAAGTTGGTTGTTATTAGGACATCTGTTTCTATGGGCATCTGCTTCCATATTTTCTTACCCTGATTTTTTTTATAGTACCCAAATGAATAACTATGCAAGTTGTTCCTTCAGCTTCAGAAGTTTGAGAGTCTTTTAACAGTATGAAAGGAAAGATTGTTTTCTCTTAATTATACTTTATTAGTAAAATACAGATGTAAAGATGTATACACATTGAAAAACATACTTTCACCATATATGATAAATTAATGACTTGTAATGAAGAAATAATGAATCTAAAGAAAAACACTACTGAACTACTAAGTATCAGACTAATTTATATATCTGAAATTTTAATGTTTTCTTTTTGATCAAAAAGGTAAAACATTAAGAATACATAATTAATTTTCCATTTCCCAGGAGTGCTTGATAAAAATAACCAGCTAGCTGTGAAACAGAGATATTCCTAAATATGTAGTCCTTTCCTTTTATTTTTTTAAAGATTTATTTCATTTCAGAGAGAGAGAGAGAGTTAGGGGAGGGGCAGAGGGAGAGAATCTTCAAGCAGACTCCCCATTGAGCAGAGACCCCACTTGGGGCTTGACCTCATGACCCGTGAGATTATGACCTTAGCCAAAACCAAGAGTCAGATGCTTAACTGACTGAGCCACCCAGGCATCACTGTAGTCCTTTTCTAAAACCAAATAGGCAAACATATTTTTTTATTAATTCATGGCTGCTCTAAAGCAATTTTATTTGAAATAATTAAAAGTGTTATTAAATTCATTCAATGATGTATGATGGACTGATGCATAAGCTACATACACAAAAAATCTACTGGTTCTTGGATAAAGGAATGTCTCTAATGATTAATTTACTCAAAAGTTCTAATACACTCTATTAATATATGCCCACCTAGCTAACTATGGCTACCATAAGTTCCTTCTTCAGTGATACAAAACTCTCTTTAAAAGGAAAGGTGCCAGTTAAAAGAGTTTGGAACAAATCAGTTTGAATTCTTACTTCCTATGTAACATGTAACATAAGGTAAACTAATCACCCATCTTGCCAATTTGTGTTTCTTTATAAATTGGGACTAATAACTACTTACATTATATTGTCAGGATACATATGACATTTTATTTAATAAGTGTTTAACATGGTATCTGGTACTTAGCAGGTACTCCCTTGATCTACTTATCCCTTCCAGAGATCTTCACAAAACATCACCATATAACATAACATGTTTAGAACTATCTTAAAGAAGTTATACCTAAGACCATAACTGTTCCTTTTGATATACATAAAATAAAACTTATATAAATCTCTGCTTATTTCATTGGCACCCTCCTCTCTATTTTTATTCAGCTTATATTATAGAAATCATTATTTTATATGCCAAAAGTTTACATTCACCCACCGTTCCTCACTTTTCCTTTCTTTTAGCAGAACCTCAGCTTTGGACGTATTCTACCATGTATCTGCTTTGTATTTAGGTGAACAGCAAAGTACTACTAGAGACAGTCCCAAAGCAAAATAGATTAGTATCATCATAAATTCATGATTATCAATTTCAAATTGATCTTTAAAACTCCTCAGTATTTCTAAGTTTACTTTTCTCAAACTTTTGATTCATGTCACTTTCAGCAGGTGATCATACTTCCAAACTTACAGAGAAAACTAAAGCCATAAAACAAGAATTCCTTCAATTCCCTGCTACTAAAACTACCAACATCCACATTGATGTCATTTCCAACCTTTCTGTAACATAAAAGGTGTGTGTCTCCATCTTTCTCAGGCCAAACCTGAGCTCTACATTGCCCCTGCTCCTCACAAATCTCACAATTAACCATCCCTTCATTTACTCGACCACTTTCTAATCAAGGGTATCGTTCCTATCCATATTCAAATATGCTCTTGTCTCTCCAACCTTAAACATCTCCTTTGACAACACATCTTTAAGTTACCTCACCTATTCATTATGTCCTTTGGGTATAAAACAAGTTCCTACATTCTTAGGAAAACACTTTTACAGCCAAGGTAGTAAGTAGCTGGTTTTAATCCCACTGAATCAATCAACATTTCAAATCAACGAGTAGGTTTTTGCAAGTCAATCCATTAGTGATATCCCTTGCTTCTAAAAGTCAGCCAACTGAGTACTTCAATGAAAGTGATTCTTCTACCTCTGAAGGTCCACTAATTCTAGATCTTTATGCTTCCTCCAAGCTCTACATGAGATCAGCAGTCTGTTATGCTTCAAGCTGGCATAGCCTTCTCTTACTTAGGTGGTAATAAATTCAAGCTTGTCTCCTCCTTTGAAATATTCAAAGTTGAGTTACCCCTCAGGTTATCTATACTACCAATCTTCATATCCTCATCTAATCGAATCTCTCCACAGAAATAAATTTCATTAAGTAACTAATACACCTAAAATAGGTCAAATATGACTGATCTCACTTTTCTGCCTAACAGCATCTGTTAGGGATAACCATTCCATCTTTCTTGAAATACTTACCTACCTTTCCGTCCGCTTGGTCTATCTCCTATTTAGGTTTATTCTCCTCTACTGTTTTTCAAGACCTAGTTGTAGGTTTTTTCTCTTTTCACTCTATCTAGCTAGCCCCTTCAACTATTTTCTGAGGGAGAATTAAGACCAAATGAATGCCAAATACTAAGGCATTCATTATGTGTATGAATTATCTTCTATTCTATGTATTTGGAATGGTAATAGCTGGTTACCATCTTTGAGAAAATTCACAAAACCCCAGTTGAGAAAGGCTGCTGTATATATAACCTCTCCACAGACCTTCTTATTCTCATCCTGGTTTTAATTACTATCTCTAGGCCAATCTATCAAATTTTTATGTGAAGCTTAGGACTCTCCTCTGAACTCTAGGCACCAAGTGCTATTCAAACTCAAAAGATTAAAAAATAGTAAATATGATCTTTCCTTCAAACTATATTTTTTCAATCTTCTCTACATCTCAGAGATTAGCTTCAAAGTTTTCCAAAATGCCAGTGCCCTGGTAATTGGGGCCTTGTATTTCTTTTTATCATATCCTCAGTGCCTAAAAGGCTGCCTGGTACATAGGCTACAAGAAAAACTTTTTACTGAATAAATGAACCTAGTGGCTACAGCCAATATGAAATATTTGTAAAGTATTAAAAACACTTTCTGGCATATAGCAAATGCTCAAGAAAATGTTAAAGATTATTACTGCCTTCAGTAATTTAAAGGAAGAGACGATAAAACCGCTACAAGTAAGAAGTGACAGCAGAGTAAGAAAATTACAAAGAAATACACCTCTGAAAAACAACAAGACTGTGTAAATAATCATAGTTCTCTGAACAAAGTAAAAAATAACTTGGGGAGTAATGAAAATCTTGCTAATGAGAACTAAAGAGCTATATATTTCTAGCTGCCCATCTTACAGGACACTCTTCTCTGTGTCAAGAAAACAATGATCTATTTCCTCAAAGTGTATAATCTACTTGGGTAAAGAAATAGAAGAAAATGATGCCAAAGGCATGCTTCATGGTTTCAGAGTTCCTACTAAATCAAAGAAATTCATGACCAGTTTTTACTTTACATGCTGAATGTCAAATTATGCCTGCACATGGAATTCTGATATATAATTTTAGGATAGCCTAAAATAAGTTAATAAATTAGGCTGATGTTGAACAAAAAAAGACGCTGTTTCTAAGAAGATGCTTTGACAAGTTAAAGGCAGTCTCCAAATCAATTGAATGTTACATCATCTGAGAAATTAAGGGAATTTCTTACCATTAAAACAGTCTTGGAGGAATCACCGGGGTACCTGAGACTGAATACTCCCAACGCCCCCAAAAAGCAAAAGAAAGTAAATGTGGCAAGATTTCGAATATCTAGAAATGACTCTATAAGTGGTATTGTTCCCATGGTCCAATCACAGCAGAGTTCTGAAGGATTTAATAGAAGCCAAGCGTTCAAAGGAAGGAGATAGTTAAAAGTTAGCTGCCTTGTAGGAGTTGGGCTTACAGCAGCTGGGTTATCAAACCTGTATAAAGAATGAAAAAAAGTTATTTAAAACACCTTGTAAACACAAAATATATAACATATAAATAAAATGCTGAACAATAAAAGCAATATTTTACACATAATCTCATTAAAAAGACAAAATATTTTATTTTTTATTTTTTTATTCTTATAAGAATAATGTATTCATACATTCATAATGTATGAATCACCATACATTACATCATTAGTTTTTGATGTAGGGTTCCATGATTCATTGTTTGTGCATAACACCCAGTTCTCCACGCATAATGTGCCCTCTTTAATACCCATCACCAGGCTTACCCATCCCCCCATCCTCCTCCCCTCTAGAACCCTCAGTTTATTTTTCAGAGTCCATCGTCTCTCATGGTTCGTCTCCCCCTCCGACTTACTCCCCTTCATTCTTCCCCTCCTGCTATCAGAAAGACAAAATATTTTTTACTAATACCTCACTAGAGGTATTTAGTCCTCACTAGAGTTCAAACTGTCTAACCTTTAAGAAACGTCTAGGTTGAGACAAACTGTGAAAAACTGTTTAAAGGGCAACTAGGTTATCTATTTCTAGTTTATTATTAGAATAAATCAGACAAGTCACTATAATATTATGATACTCTGCAGAAGTATAACTTCCTGATTAAAACTAAAAAGAAAAGTTTTAAAAGTGTCATTGCTGTATGTGATGTATGAGTGTTTCTAAAAACACTAACCAATGTTTTTTCTGCATAAGATGGCTTCTTTCAAAAGGCACTAAATGCTAATAAAAATTATGCTTCCTAGAAAGAATTACTATATTTTCCTTTTGTTGCAGACAGAGAACACTGTATCACCTATGAGTTTTTCCTTTCTGCTTAGACTTTTAGGAAGCTAAAAACCAAATTTCCAGTATAGAATAGTAACTGTATAGGCCTATGTAACATTTTGTGTTCTACTTTTTCTCCTCGTACATACTAATATAAACTTACATCCTAATTTAAATTTGTCCAGGCCATGATATATTACATGTACATTTCATTAATTTAGTCTGTTTCCTGCAAACTAACGCAAATCATAGTCAAAGCATTTTTTAAAGTATATTTCAAATGAATAGCTTCAGATTTTTTTTAGGCTACATTCAAAATTTTATTGGCTATGTTAATATACAGTCCTTTAAAAACCCAATTTCTCATTTTAAAATGAATGAGTTAAGAAAAATCAACCCCTAACATTTGTTTGACTTGGTCGTCTTAAAAATTCAAATGGCTGAGAAAAAGTAAATACTATTTGAACAAATAATATCTTAAAAACCTTCATATTTGAATATCTACATGTATGAAAAATAATAAATCTTGAGTCAGGACTTGAATTCTCAAATAACCAACAGAAGTGAATACAAAGCTTTTTTCCTATAATCCACTATTCAGGGTTCATTTTTATAATTAATGGTTTATTTAGAATAGCTAATTTAATAACCCTACTATAGAGAAAGAACACATGTCAAAGCAAGTCAAACAACATTATAGTCAACTTCACAGGGTAATGTAATAGGAGAAAATGTATATATACACGTATTTTTAAATGCTTCTATTTGGAAAATACATCATTTAGATGTAACGTATTCCATACAGCCATCCACAAATACATAAAACAAATACATTCATACCTATAAACCACATTTTCACACTATAGAACTGGAGATGAAAAACAGTCAATGGAAATTCTCTAAAAGGAATAATAAAAACAATAACACTGAAACTGAGGGTGAAGAGGGAACTATAAAGTATATATTTACAATTCAATCTATTTCACATATCTTACTACTTAAATGAGTTGTTCGGGGTGCCTGGGTGGCTCAGATGGTTAAGCGACTGCCTTTGGCTCAGGTCATGATCCTGGAGTCCTGGGATCAAGTCCCACATTCGGCTCCCTGCTCGGCAGGGAGTCTGCTTCTCCCTCTGACCCTCCCCCCTCTCATGCTCTCTCTTTCTTTCTCATTCTCTCTCAAATAAATAAAATCTTAAAAAAAAAAAAAGAGTTGTTCAGTTTAGCATCGCTAGACTCAGAAGTAAAAATTCATGAAATTAGAAAGTATTCTTTAAAGAAAAAAATGCTACTGAAAAGAATAATTATATGGAAAATGATACAAAGAAAATGTTTAAGGTAAGAGAATTATCTGAATAAAATTTTATTCTAACCAGGGCCAGCTATGCACTATCCTGGACAGCACACGAACAACATTTTGGCCTTTTGTTAAAAAAAAAAAAAAATTCTTGTATTTAATATCAGATACTTTAATATAATTGAATAAGGAACTAATATAAATTTCATTTTAAATTTTAGCTGAGTAAGGTGAAATGGAAAAATGCTAAATTTCAGAGCAGGAAAAAAAGATGTAGATTGTTAAATTCAGCATAACTTTTGCTTCTAGCTTTAAATGCAAAGAACTGGACAAGATATTATAAAACTTTTCTTAACACACTGAGCCTCAGGCAAAGAAGGACAATGATAACTGAGGGAAGAAAAACAAATAAGGGAAACCCTACCTGGAAAGTTCAATACCTAGACACAGATTTTAGTCTGTGGAGCAGTGAGGGGGAACCTAGTGGAGCCTAGTAGCATCCTTAGGTTGCAAAGACAGAACTGGGAGCCCTAGAAGCCCAGGGGGCCAGAGTCAGTGGGCAGAATACCAGAGAGAAGAAAGCTGCTGAGAAAGAGAACTCCTATCTGTAGAGGGTCTCTCTCCAGTTTTTAGTACTGATGAGAACTATTCAGCATATGTATGTGAGGAAATACACAAGGTCAGTGTAGTGGGTTGAACCATGTCTCTCAAACATTCATATCTACCCAAAACCTCAGACCGTGACATTATTTGGAAACCTATTTCTTTGCCAGTGTAATTAGTTAAGTCAGGATGAGGTCATACTGGATTAGGGTGAGCCCTAAATCTAATGACCGGTGTTCTTATACAAAGAGAGAATACAGAGAAACACACAAGAAAGAGGGAATGCCAAAGACTGCTAGCAACCTCTAGAAACTAGGAAAGAAGCATGGAACAGATTCTTCCTGAGAGTCTTCAGAAGGAACCAACTGTGCCCGACCCTTGATTTTGGACTTCTGGCCTCCAGCACTGACAGAGAATAAATTTCTGCTGCTTTAAGCTATCCAGTTCTGGTAATCTGTTATAGCAGCACTAGGAAAAATAATGCAGTTAGGAAAGTACCTCTCAAAAGAATTAGATAAAAATTCTCAAATACCATACAGAGGTAGGAATAGTTCCTCAGCAGCCAGAAGGAAAATCCTCATAAATCACAGTCTATCAGATATAGTAGTCAGAAGGGTCTTGTGTCAGTAGCAGAAGAAAATTAGCCCTATTGTAAATGCTGCTGTGGTCTCATTCATCAAAGATTAGAAGCATGGCTAGAAGATGAAACATTTCTCAAATAACTTAAATGCCTCCCAGAACAAAGCTCTAAAATATTTATAGTAATATATTAAAGTAAAATGCACATACATGACAACTATTAAAAATTGCCTGCCATGTGAAGTAGAAACATATAATCCATGAGAAGAAAAATTATTCAATCTAAACTAAGAAATGACACATACAATAAAATTAGTAGATGAGGAAATTAAAGCACTAGAACATGTAGAGACATGAAACATAAAAAGGCTTAAACAGAATTTCTAGAAATGGAAACAATATCTGAAATGAAAAAGAACTAGAAAAAAATTAAGGACAGATTAGACATTGCAGAAAAAAGATTAGTGAACTTGAATATATTGCAGAAGAAACTATCCAAAACGAAAACAGGGAAATAGTTTTTGGAGAGGAATAAAAAGAGCATTAGTCTGACAACTTCAAAAGGCTTAATATCCATGTAACTGGGGTCCCAGAAAAGGAGAAGATAATAGAAAAATATTTCAAGTAATAGATAAAAAATTTCCAAAATTTACATAAAGTAAAACCTACAGATCCTAAGCTCAATTAACCTAAGCACAAGCCACATGAAGATAAAAGAACAGTGACTGGAAGTTTGTATCATTTACCACTTTCACCCAAATTTTGTTATAAGATAAATATGTCCTAGGGTAGCAATATGCAGCAGGTGACTAGAGTTAATGATACTGTATTGTATATTTGAAAATTCCAAAGAAAATAGATCTTAAAAGTTCTCATCACAAGATTTTTTTGTAATTATGTGTGGTGATGGATGGACGTTAAATACACTTATTAGTGATAATCATTTCTCAATATACATGTATCAAATCATTACACTGTATACCTAAAACTAATAGTATTATATATCATGTCTCAATTTAAAAAAAATAAACAATGACAAAGAGAAAATAATACAAGTAGACATACAGAAAAAGACACACTACACACAGAAGCACAAAAACAAAGATGACAGGATATCTCAGTGAAAACTGCAAGCTAGAAAATAGTAGAGCAACATTATTAGAGTGCTGAATGCACAACAATGTGGAATTCTACACTCAGAATTCAAAATATTTTTCAAAAACAAAGATAAAGATATTTTTATATATAAAAGCTAAAACAATTCAGCACCAGCAGACCTACACACGTCAAGAAATGTTAAAGAAAATCCTTTAGTCACAAAGAAAAATGGTACCAGATGAAAATCACATTGAATATAAACAGTTGAAACACCTCATTTAAAAAATACTATCTGGGGAGCCTAGGTGGCTCAGTCAGTTAAGCGGCTGCCTTCGGCTCAGGTCATGATCCCAGGGTATCAGGCTCCCTGCTCAGCGGAGAGCTTGTTTCTCCCTCTCCCTCTGCCTGCCGCTCTGCCTACTTGTGCTCCCTGTCAAGTAAATAAATAAAATCTTAAAAAAAAAAAAAAAAAAAACTGACCAAACAAAAAAGGAAGACCCAACTTTATGCAGCCTACAAGAAGTCAACTTTAAATATAAATATATTGATAGATAAAAAGTTAAATGATGGAAAAAGAAAAACAATGTAACACTAAGAAAAAGGAGATAAAGTGAATTTCTGAGTAAAGACCAGGGATAAAGTATTTTCAGGGATAAAGAAACTCATTTAATCACAATCCTAAATGTTATGCACTTAATAATAGAGCTTGAACTCACATGAAGCAAAAATTGATAAAACTATAAGGAGAAATAGACAAATCTATAATTACAGTCAGAGATTTTAACGTCCTCCTCTCAATAATTATTAGAACAAGTAGATAAAAATCACTAAGAATATAAAAGACTTATCACTTAACCAATCAAGTTAAAATCATTGTATCATTAAGTTAAAATCATTATTTTCATTCTGGTGGTTTCATGAGTGTACACATAGGTCAAAAGCTACTAATTTGCACATTATAAATATATGCAGGTTTTAAAAAAAAATATTATACCTCAATAAAGCTGTTAAAAAACCTGAACATAAATCAAAGACTTTCTGAAACATTTATAATCAATGAACATCAAGAGTTAAAGAAAGAAAGAATGAAAAAAAAAAGAAAAGAACCAGACTTTCATACCTGGTGAATACTGGAAGTTGGGACTGAATAACCTGGACTCTAATCACAACAAGTAATAGTGTACTGAACATCAAAACAATGAGTTTTATTAGTGTCTGCAGCATAGAAAATGGAATACTACTCTTTCCACGGAAAAACTGTCCAACAGTAGTCCATAATAATGGCAAAGTATACTGCAAAAGGAAAAAAAAGTTTTAAATAACAATATACTATAATATTTTCAATGCAGTATTTTCAAAATGTAAGACTAGATATAAATTGACTATAATTATAAGATCAATATGGAGCAATTTGTGGAACTGATAATGAATAAAACTGAGCCCAATAATCTTATCCAATACTGAATTATATTGTACAATATTACTGTATACATTTCCAAATTGCCTAATGATTCCATTATTGAAATGCAAAGAGTTGTCCTGAAAAAACTGAGCGAGTTAAAAAATGTTAAGTAATTTTCAATAGATAGTAAGACAAAACATGCTGCTTTCTTGCGAATTTTTTGGTATCATTTTTGGTAAACACACCAATTTACATAATGACACATTTAGAAAACAAGTTTATTATAAGAGAATTTAAGTATGATAAGTGATAGCAACAAAAAAACATATTTCTCCTTACCCCTTGTGCAATAAATACTTCATACACACAGCAAATTCCCACAACTGTTATTCCTTGTTCTTTACACAACGTTGCAATAGCAACTAAAACCACTGTCAAGGCAATTGGAGTCCATACTGCAATTCAAGAACAGAAAAATATGGAACTACACAAAACAATTTTATAATATCATAAAGAGATATTTTAAGTTAGACAACTATTAGACATTACTAAAAAACTTTACTTGTGATTCTATATTCACATTTGTTATTTCCCATTAACCTATACTTTATATTTTAAAACGTACTTAAATGTTGTGATTTTTCCTTTATGCACTCAAAACAAAACACTGAGATGTATAACTTGTACTAAAACTTTCTGTGGAGAAGAGAAACTTAGAGGCTGGAGTGTTGTGATTGATGAGCTATCAGTTTGAAATGAAGACAAATACTTTATTATGTAGACATCTATGTTTTATTAAAAACCTGAAACTGAAAACTACTGGGCAAAGTAGACGAGCATCTATTAAAAAAAAAAAAAGAGTATAAAAACTGAAACAGGTTCATAGTAAGAATATTCTTTTAAAAAATTTGCAATAGAATATTCGTAAGTTCTATTTAAACAGAAAACCTACTTCATCAACTTTAAGCAAACATCTACTACTAGTAGTAGTAGTAGTAATTTGATTAAAGAAAAATGAATTGTGAGGGTAATTCTGGATCTACTACTAACTTGCTTTGTGACTTTGGGCAACTTTTCTGAGTTTCGGTTTTCCTATTGGAAAATATAATCTCCAATTCTTTTCCAGTTTAAAAGATACATTGTAGTATGATTGTGTGACCTTAGGTTTATTTATTAAGAACATTAATCAAAGTAATAACTCAAATAATTGACTTAATTCCAGGTATAAATAAAAAAACAATTTATGAATCTAATATACTTTCCTTTGTCATTTGGCTTAATACAGAAATTCATTGATTTTTGAAATTGTTTTCAACTTTAGAATACTCTATAGATTATAATTACTGAAAGGAAAACAACTCAAAAAACTCTGAAACACTATTGGAGATACTCCGTATAATAGTATTCTTTCCCTCAAAAAAAAAAAACCCTCATATTCTAGTTAGATCAAAACCATCAATACGAAAGTAGTAGATTATACCAATGGGATATGAGGGCTGATATAATCATACCCATTTTTAAGATGAGGAAAGAATTTTGGAGGTCTAAAAAAATAGTCATGCACAATAAAGAAATCATGACTTTAACTTGGTTCTTCTGACATTAAATTCAGAGCTTCTTACTAGTTTGTAATTCCATTCCAAGACAGAGAAAGCAAACAGTTGCCTTCTGCAATGCTGGATTCAATCTCAGCAACTAATAGCTCTAATAAAGGCAAGAACTTTATTGAAACCAGTCACTTCAGGTCTTCAACTTTTGTTGACTATATTACTGTGTGAATATAAACTTTGATTTTATAAACAGATCTCTGTGGTTAGTTACCACGTGTGATTTTATCCAAAACAAGTCCCCCTGCTAAATACATTAACACTTAAAAATATATACATGTGTAAGTAGTGATTCAATTTCAATCATTAAAATCCTTTCCAACACAAAATACAGGTTTCTAAACTAATTTTACATGTGTAAAGATACAAACCTCCAGCAATCACATATTCTAACAGTTATTTTAAGTATCTGCTACATCTTGCGGGGGAGATAATAGTCAAATAAGTAAAGATATATTTGCCAAATGATGACCTAAGTGTTATGAAGAAAAATAGAAGGTGAAAGGAAAAAGAAAGGAATGGGAAAGATGAGTGGTGTACTGATGACATTTGAGCAGAAACCCAAACTAACAGAAAGGAACAAACGAAGGCCCTGAGGTGGATCATGCTTAAAAAAAAGGGTATGGGTCGTTAACAGCCTAGAATTTAAAGTGATCAAATAATTACAAATTGAAAAACTGCACAGGACAACATCCATTAGATAAAACAGTGAATACAAAGATGATGACAAAACTGTTTGTGGTCTTAAGTGTAAAATTACATAATGTGGAATATGAAGTATTATGGGAGCTAAGAGGATAAAGGTTCAAAAGCAGGGTCAGCATCTTTTTAATTAGAATTTAATTGTTTAATTGTTCACTTGGTCATTTGCTAAATAAATATAATGAACACCTACTATATAGGTATATAAGGAACCATTCTAGGAAATGGAAACAGAAACCTACCCATATTACAAATCTAAGAACACACTAAAAGTGTTTGGCTAAATCACTTATTTCTTGAACCTTAGCTTTACATTAATACAAAATTAGGCTCCTTATCATCAGTACTTTGGGTCTACAGTGAGAAAATTCTCCAAGAATGTAGGAAAAAACCTCAGAGTTAAATTTTAAGATCAACCAAATATAGGTTACCATTATATAAATCCTCTTTCATGCCCACTGTTCCCACACTTCTAAAAAATCATTTTTATTGCCTGGAGCTTATTTTCTGCTAATAGCTGGCATTAGCAGGATTAAAGACCTAATTTGTACAAAGCATTTTCCAGGGTGGGCCACATGGTAGGGACTCAATAAATAGCTGAACTATGATCAACACATAAAGAAGTTATATTCTAATAAGCTTTTAACTTTACCTAAATAATACAATTCACAGCTTTACTATAGAAAGACAACTGAAGTATTGGTACTTGTATCATTTATAGATAACAGCACATGGAACTAAAAATGACTCTAAAACTCCCATATTCTAGGGTAATTTTTTTAAGTTAAATCATACAGAATCTGTTAGTCATGATAAAATATAAACTACATGCAAAAATTTTTTTAATATTGACAATGTTGTAATATCATGTTCATACATGTTGAAGATAAACCCAAGTGTGGCATATATTTTAAAAGAAATAAAGCATTTATATATATTTTATAAGAAATAAGCATTACTTGATCAGGTTTTATAGATATAGAGAAAAAAATTAAATGTTAGACACTCACCTATGGAATTATTTGGTCCTTTTGATTTGGTATATGACAAAAATGCAGCTAGAAAAAAGATAGAGGACAAAAGTTCTGCTCTTCCTACAACACCTGTTACCTAAAAAGGGAAAGGGAGGGGAGTTCATATTAATGAAGAGCCTCTTGAAAATTTAACTACCATATATAATAAGAATAGCACTTTAGAAATCAAAACTGCCATAATTTTTCAAGCACAAATTTCAGTTTCTTAGACATTCTTTGAGTGCCCTCATGTGGTGAATTTGTATATCTTCCATACAAATAAATTAAAAAATCTTTAAAAAAAATTTTAAAATAAATTTACCAGTGACTCTAAAATAGTTCTTTGATTATTATTTTGAAATAATTATAGACTCACAGGAAGTTGCAAAAACAGGTACAGAGAAGTCCTGTGTACTGTTTAGCCAGCTTCCCTCAACAGTAACATCTTACATATTAGGACAGTATCTAGAATAGTTCTTAATTTAAAAAAAAAAAAAAAAAAACCTAAGACCTTACATATTTTCTTAAAATACATTCTTAAAATATAAAAATATTCATAAATTCAGTAAGTTCTATCTCACAATAAATGTGTAAACTCAAGGGCGCCTGGGTGGCTCAGTTGGTTAAGCGACTGCCTTCGGCTCAGGTCATGATCCTGGAGTCCCAGGATTGAGTCCCGTATTGGGCTCCCTGCTCAGCAGTGAGTCCACTTCTCCCTCGGACCCTCCCCCCCTCATGCTCTCTCTATCTCATTCTCTCTCTCTCAAATAAATAAAATCTTTAAAAAAAAATGTGTAAATTCAAGATAATAAACTTTAAAAACTCCTTTTTTGGGGTGCCTGGGTGGCTCAGTCAGTTAAGTGTCTGACTTCAGTTCAGGTCATGATCTCAGGGTCTTGGGATCAAGCCCTGCATGGGGCTCCTTGCTCAGCGGGGAGTCTGCTTTTCCCTCTCCCTCTGCCCTCTGGCTGCTTGTGCTGTCTCTTTCTCAAATAAGTAAAAGTCCTTTTTTAAATTCTAAAAATTTAATTATAAAACCCTCAAACCTCTTCCTTTATTCTGAACTCACTGTAAAATTTAAAACAACCTACCATTTTTGTAAATGCATGGAAAAATGTCTGTTCAACGAGACATAAAAAGGTTCAAGACAGTGGGAGAGACACACAAACCCCTTCCAATACACACACCCATTCAAGCACAACAAGAGTTCAAACATACATTTTTTTGCTTACAACTGAAAGCTTGTAACAAAGCAATTGAATAGTCCTTTTTGCTCTGTTGAGAGGCAATTTTGGGGTTTCAAGGTTATTAAGAAAAATAAAGTTATAATTTAAGTACATCTTGGTAGGTAGGGGCTGACAGATACTGGCAACAGCAGAGACAGCTCACAATTTTGAAACATGGCAGACAACATGAAAGTACTGAGTATCTTCACTGGTTAGAATGTTTATGTTTACATATATTTTGATATATGTTTATGTATATTTTCATCTTTTATTTAAACTTATTTTCTGTCCTTTGAAACACTACGAAGTTGACAAATGCTTTAAATCTATATTCATAAAAAAACAATTAGCAAGGAACTGTATTCATTTATCCTTTTATTACTCATCTTGAGCAATTTTATCTTATGTCCTTAAATAATAAATGTTTATGTTTCAAAACTTGCTTTAAATTTAAAAATTTTAGGGGCGCCTGGGTGGCTCAGTCGGTTAAGCGGCTGCCTTCAGCTCAGGTCATGATCCCAGGGTCCTGGGATTAAGCCCCGCATGGGGCTCCCTGCTCAGCAGAAGCCTGCTTCTCCCTCTCCCTTTGCCTGCAGCTTCCCTTGCTTGTGCGTGCTGTCAAATAAATAAATAAATCTTAAAAATAAATAAATTTAAAAATTTTATATAGTAGGAAGTTAGATTCTGTACACTAGAAAGTTAAGACTTATACTAATTTAAAAATCTTGAAATATTTTAATTAAGGCCATGGTTAAATTTTTTTTCTTAAAAACATATACCATTATAGTCACTATGTAGGCTTTGTTAAAAAAAAAAGAAGAAAAGAACACTGATTTACAGTTTTACTTACTGCTTCTGTGTGTATTGGGTGCACTGCAAAAAGTAAAGAAGCAATCATACTACTCCTGTTGTCCAGAAAAAGTTTGCAGACTTTAAGAAATATCACACCAACCACAGCATGAAAAATCATATTTAGGAGATGATATGACATTGGTTTCAGTTCACTAAACAGATAATTTAAACGAAATGTCAATACTGTTAAGGGACGGTAAGACTTGTGGCTTCTCTCCTAAAAGGAAAAAAACAATCATCATCATTAAAGTTCCATGGTCCTTTAGTGCACATAAACTAATCCTTGCATTTCCTATTCAAAGTATCTACGTTTGGCTGAGATATAGCAATAAAGTAATGAACTGCTCCAAGGATAACACAAAACTAAAAGATAGTTTTATAATGTATTTTCCTATTTTCTTAGTCCCAAAACAAAGGCAATTTCCTCCTTTTGCAAATATCCCATCCCATCAACAGTAGAGGAAGAACATATGACTATTAATTTCCCTTCAATACACAGATTTAAAAAAATAATAAAGCAGGACAATAGTGGCATTGGTCAAATCAGGACACAGGATTCTCTCCAAAGCCTACTTTCCAATCTATTACTAATACAAGCATTTATATAACTGCTGGCCAGATTCTCAAAAGGAAATATAAGAACAGAATGTTTACCAGCTCAGTTTTAATTGTGAAGACTCAGAAAAGTACTAACTGTTTTATGAAAAACACCTTCATAATATGTAAACCTGAATATATTAAACCAAAAAACCCCCAAATACTACACAGAGAATACAAAAACAAAAACTTTCTTAGAATAACAGAATAGATACCTTTGTTATGGTAGTCTTTCCTGGCAATAAATCAAATTTTATGTGAAGCTGCTGAATTTCTTTACAAGCTAGAAGTTTCATTTAACCAGAAATATTTTACCATAAGACAAAAATCAAACCAGATTTAAGAATAAAATGCACAGGACAAAAACACATAAAATATTATCCTATTACTTTTTAAAATTTTATGTAAAGGCATTCACACTCAGCTTCTTCACTCTCATACCTCTTACCATATTTTGCTATAACTCTGGTATTACAGGTGTCGACTTAAGCATGTTTATTCCTACTAGGGAACATTAGGAACCACAAGGAACAAACATTTCTCAATTTGAAAACAGGAACATTTTAATATCTCTGTATTGACTACACATGCCATGAGTGATGTCTACCTAGAATGTTCTTTGCTGCTTAATGTTTGTACATCATTTGATTTAGCTCAGGCATACAAAGTTATTTTTAAGGCATTATACTGAGCTGACATGATGTGTATCCAAAAGCAAAAAAAAGGCCTGGAAACCTTTTGAGTGCCTGAAATGTTACTGTAGTTCCACTGGGACATATTTGCCAGTCAAAAGGATGAAGTCTGAAAGTGCAGGGAATAGGTTATTTTTAACTGTAATATACATAATTGTTTTGTTAGGTCTATTAGATGTACAGTCACAGGTAATGGCTAATTAAAAAATAGATTAATTATTAACATAACTGATTATTCACACAATGCATTAGTAATCTAAAGACTCCACTGTGATAATCATCAGTGTAGTAGATAACAGATTATTCTGTGAAAATATAGTAAAACAGCTAGTTCTATTACAAACAATACAGACCATTATTAAATTCAAGTATAATAAAGAAAAAAATTATTCATAGTATTAGTTGGCAATAGAAACATAAGCATGAATATAATGAATAGGCTAATAGTTCCCTATTAATGTGAATCTCCATATAGCAATGGCAAAACAAAGTGAAATGGGATATTTGCAAAAGTTACCTTAACAAAGATAGTTCATAGGCCAAATGCCAGAAGAGATGGCTCATTACAGCTTAACCATGGCTGTGTCAGAGAATCACTTGGATAAACAGAAAAAACCTAATCCTCTACTCCTCCCTGCCCCCAAAATCCCAAGAACAATAAAAAAGCAAACACAAAAGGAACAAGACAAAAATACTGATGCCCATATCCCATTCTGAGATAACTGTAACAGATTTGAGTAGAGCCTTAGTAATTTTTTTTAAGTGCCAAGCAGATTCTAATATGTAACTAGATTTATAATCCACTGAACCATTTAAAAACAGAGTATAACATAGCTAAAGAATGGGCTTACTAAAGAGATAATCTATACACTAAGAGTGCCAGAGGAGTCCAAAGACCCCTACTATGTCAGTATTCACACAGCTCAGGAATATGTCCAAAGCCCAAAATGTGTCTTTAAGATCTACACTGACACAAAAATCCTTATGCAGGTTTGGGCACTCACAGATAGGCTTCCAGGCTATCATTACTTGATGACATCAACCATCAGATCTCTGAATGTGCTAATTTCAGGCTGGTCAAGAAAACCTGTAATACCTAAATACTACTCAGAATAATTTTTCCTTAGTGGCACATTTCCCTACAGGAAAAGAATATGCCTATCAGAAAAAAGGAGGAAGCAACAATCTCCACCATATATTGTTATTCAAATTTGTTCATTCATTTTTGTCTGAGTTTATTATTATGAGTACTTTTCTTAGTGTGTCCACTTATAGGAGCTCTGAACAAAATCATATTTTCAATCTGTAAAGCTGAGGAAGTCACAAAACATTGCACTGACACCATGGTATGATAACTTTCATGAGACCCTTAATCTGACCAGCTACCCTTTCAGTTAAAATCTCAATGTCATGATTAAAATCACAACAGATACTAGCTTAAGTTGGGGAAATGGACACATATTTTTAAGGGCCTCTAGGGATAAAATGTAGGGGTAGAAGGAAATAAATGGCCTAGAAAATAATGATCTTATTATATAATCATATTTTTTCTCATTGTCAAATATTCATTTCTTTTAAAGGCTAGAATAGGGTGAGAACAGGAAGGGTACAAGAAAATAAAGTCTGCTTATTTAACAAGAAAAAATACTTATGTGTTTGTGACTAGAGGAATGACAGACTTCATCCCCACTCTTGAGAAGCTTCCATATTTAAAGAATGCGGAAAGGGACCACGAATGACAACTGACAAACTATAAAAGAGTGTTATATGTTATGGTTCAACAGTGCGCCAAGTACAATAGATTAATTCATTTATTTATCCTCAAGGTATTATTCTTTTATGGATCAGATCTCTTATAGATCTTGCCATCTAAAAGCTATTTTCCCACCAATTTCGTACAGCTATTATATAATAGAATGGTAGGATCCAATCTATGGGATCCCAAATGACAAGAGTTTAATCCCAAACAGTTCAATAGTGACCTTCAAAATAAATTTACTGACAAAATAAAAACATCCTCATAAACAATGAACTAAACTTTTGGGTTCTCAATATAAAATTAAAATAACTACTAGGTAAAAAATATGACACAAATTTAAAATTTTCTGCAGGAAAAAACTCAATACTTTCACCCTTAAAGTCTAATCTATTTATATTGAAGTTACATATTTTTAGATGGTTAAATATATCATAAGTGGTCATTTCTTTTGCCTGAATCATGAAAAAAAGAGCAAGAAATAGATTTGTTTACACTTCTTGCTATCCTAACGCATTTGGCTTTCACACACATATGTTGTTTTTAAAAAGATTAAAATACACAACCAAGGAAAGAATCATGTACTGCTTTAAAAAAGATACTCACATCTTCAACTTCCTATGTAACATATACATTTTAGGGAAACAAATTCAAATTCATAAGTGCTATGATGACAATGTTGGTAAAGAAATTAGGAGTAATAAACTATTAGAATATTTTAAAATCTAAGATACACATAAGCAACAAATAACTACTTACCTCAGACATAGGTGTTCCCCAGAAGTCATTCTGAAATAAAGTTTTTAAAGGTGTAGATGGATGCAGGTCTTTGTTATCCAGTATTGCTGAAACATCATCAAAAACAAAACCACAAAAGAGGCTGTTCCAATAGCAGGCGGTAACCACACCTACTATTAAGGCTATTTCTTTGAGGTTAATATCAGCCATCCTGTCCACAACCACTTGTGGACAAAATCTAGGGGGAAAAATCATGAAGATAAGATGAAATAAGCATCACTGTTTTTTCAAATAAGTAAACTTTTCATAGAAGGATAAGTAAGAGTGAATGCTAATTCTCCAAGAGAATTCAAAGCTCAGCTCACATGTCATCCACCTCTAAAAAGCATTAGCTGACCACCTCTCCAAATTCCTAACTTAAAATTAATTGCTCCTTCATGTATTTCATATTTCTATTAGAATCCTTTATCACACCATTTAATCTCTGGACTTACCTCTCTAGCTAACTAGATAGTGAACTCCCTATCAATTGTCACAGGTCAGGTTATTCAGGGAATATATATATACATATATATATAGATGTATGAAAACTTTAAAAACCTAGTATGGTGTACTCCAGAAGCAGTAAATAAATTTTTGTGAGGAAAAACAATACTTGAAAAGACACTGAACATGGATTTTCTGAAATGTAGTTGAAGCTTGTATTTTAGTACTTATATACCCGAAGACCAACTATTACCTAAATTAGGCATCCAAACTGTTAGTCTGCAGCCTTGTTTAATTTGGTTAAAGCCTTTTAAAAATATCTCAAATGTGTCTAAAGGCATTCTAAGCCTAAGCTAGCTGTATACTAGCCATTTAACTATAGTCTCACTATTTTTCACACTGATTTATGTTATCTACTTAGCAATATGAGTTTAAAACCCAGATCTAAATCATAGTGTTTTTCTCATTACAACAAATGATTTTAATCTAGAGAACAGGCTTCATCCATGGCAATTCATAATTAAATCATTGCTTTAGAAAGGATTTAATAAGAAAATGGTTTAGAGTAGAAGAAACTGTATTAACTGGATGATACTGAAGAATCAGCCTTATAATAAAAATAAGGTTGGAGGGTACTCTTGAAAAACAAGCCAATGATATACTTTTCTAGCTTGAGTAGTATCATTAGTAACAAAATCTGTGGAAGGCAGAATTTGGCCCACCAAAACTATCCATATCCAAATCCCTGAATCTGTGATAATGTTACTTTACATGGCAAAAGAGACATTACAAGGTGTGATTAAATTGAGGGTTGTGAGATGAGGAGATTATATCTTCGATTATCTGGGTGGGCCAATTCAATGACAAGAGACCTTAAAAGTTAAAGAGGGAGGCAGGAGAGTCAGGAAAGCAGAGATGAGAGTGATGTGATGGCCAGCTGGGGCCACAAGGCAAGGAATGATGGTGGCCTCCAGAAGCCGGAAAAAGCAAAGAAACATTCTTCATTAGCGTCTAAAGTGACCACAGCCTACTGACTCTAAATTTTAGTCTAGGGAAACCTCTTTTGCACCTCCATAATTATAAAATAAAAAATTTGTGTTAAGTCACTTTATTTGTGGTAATTTGTTACAGCAGCAAGAAGAAACTAATACATTACTCACAGAGCCAGAAAATCTAAGACTTGATATATATCTATAGGAGTTCCTGCTAGATCAGAGAGGAAGAAGACAATAGGAAGGGCAGAGAGATTTAAAATCAGATGGAAGATTTATATAAGGATATAAACACACAAAAGCCTATAAGAAAGTATTAAAGTATAGTATTAAAATATAGTATTAAAGTATAGGTTTTCTAAGGAAAACCTTAGAATATATTACTTAAAGAAATGCAAAATCCAATCCTACAAATCACAAAAGGTAATTACCTGTACCTCTTGAAGGATAGTTTTCGAGTAAAAAAAAATGAGATGAGTTTATCTTGAACCCAGAGCTGATTTATCATCTCTAAAGAGTATCAACTTGTGCCTTATCCCAGAAAAAGTTAATAGCAGTTGTTTAAAGACAGGAGATACTGAGCAGGCATTTGCCTCACTCCTGAATCACACACTAAAATGACAACCAAGGTATTAAAAAGAAAAAAAAAGTATAAATTCACAAGGATAAAGACCATTGAATTTTGGAAGCTGGAAAAACAAAAGTTCAGTGGTGACTCAACAGAGCTCAGGAAAGTAAATCTTAAGCTTAAGGGGGAAAGCTAAAAAGTTTTTTGCATCCCTGCCAGCATCAATCTCAAAACTGGTGACAAAAATTTCAAGAAAAAGGAACAGATGTATTTGTTAAAATTTAGACTCCTCTGTCACTGGGTATAGGCAAGTAACCTTTTCTCCTGTAGCTGGGTAGAAGACTAGAGACTTTCTCTCTGAAATAGGTGAAACACAGGGTGTCTGATGTAGGGGACACAAGTGAAAACAAAGGTAGCAAACTGAAAATGAGGGTTAACTAAAAGTCTGTCTACATATTTTGAGACCCTCCAGTTATCTTCTACCACTGGGCACACAATCTTGTAAAATTTTCAACCCTGGAAACAAACAAAAAAGAGGCCTCTAAAAGCTTCCACAAAGGAAGAAAGCAGGTTTCATAGCAGAGATTAGGATTCAAACAAATCCTTTTTTTTTTTTCCAACACTGGAAGCTGGAGGATTGTTGGGGGGGGGGGCAGGGGAGGAAAATCCTGAAAAAAAAAGGAGTAATGCTTCAAATTTCTGAGGGATAATAATTTCCAACCGAAAATTTGATATTAATAAACACAAATTTCCCAACTAGGAAAGTAGAATAAAAAATATCTTAAGAAATTCAAGGTCTCAAAAACTTTACCTCTGATGTCTCCTCTTCTCAGGAAACTAACAGAAGACTTATTCTAATAAATAAGGGAGTATATTAAGAAACAGAAAGAGAGGGAAATCAGGAAACACGGGATCCAGTGCAAGACAGCAACAAAAGAAATACCCAGAATGAGAACCATGGAAGCAGGTCCACTAGCCAGTCTACCCTAGAACAGGTCAGAAGGTTCTTGAGCAATACTCCCAAGAAGCTATAAATAGAGCACCTATGTGTAAGAACAATTTTACTCTCCCATTGTGTGTGTGTGTGTGTGTGTGTGTGTGTGACTGTAATTTAGAAAAACAAAACAACTCAGGACATCCGCCACCAGGTAGGTGAAAATCAAGTCTTGTGTATGGGTCACAAATCTCTCTCCCATAATCTCAGAACCCTGATCTGGGGACATTTGGGATTTTTACCCCAAACTGCTGTTTGTCAAACTGTTTGCTTATATGTTCTCACCACAGGAAAAATTAAAAATAGAAGAAAAAGGAGTAAATTAAACCTATGGTTTTATTACCTCAAAGCTGTATTTGAGAACAACATATATATGATTATTAAAGTACTAATAATGTTTAAAAGAATCTGACACACACTGTAGACTCTTGGTATATTAGCTTTAAAACTATAAAATACAATTTTATATGATACAATATGTATAATATATATAATATTAAATTACAAACCATGCAATTTGTGGATTTAGGCTTTTTAGTTGAAAAGTATAAAAATTTAGCCAAGTTTACAAACATTATTGGAATTTTGTAAGGACTTGGGGAGTTGCTATAGTTTTAAGCTTAATTTCCTAGGTTTATACAAATTGGTTTTTTGGGTTCTTTTTTAAAGATTTTATTTATTTGACAGAGACAGAGACAGTGAGAGAGGGAACACAAGCAGTGGGAGTGGGAGAGGGAGAAGCAGGCTTCCCGCTGAGCAGGGAGCCCAGTGACTGAGCCACCCAGGTGCCGCTACAAATTGTTTTAAGTATTGAGAAAGTTTTGCTTTTTAAGTCAGGTATCTGAAGTCCTTGAATAAAAATGAATACATTCAAATTATAAATACAAATTTTTAAAAGATTCTATTCATTTATTTGAGAGAGAAAGAAAAAGCATGAGCGGGGGGGGGGGGGCAGGGAGGGGGAGCAGGGGGAAAGGGAGAAGCAGACTCTGCACTGAGCAGGGAGCCCAATGTGGGGTTTGATCCCCGGGACTCCAGGATCATGACCTGAGCTGAAGGCAGATGCTTAATTGACTGAGCCACTCAGGAGCCCCTATAAACATAATTTTAAATAAAGGGAATTTAAACAAGTTTTTTTAAAAAAAGACTTATTTATTTTAGAGAAAGAGAGCATGTGTGCACGTGCTGGGGGTGGGGGGGTAGAGGGAAAGAGCATTCCAAGCAGACTCTATGTCAGTCTCCATCCCACGACCCTGAGATCACAACCTGAGTGGAAACCAAGACTTGGATGCCTAACTGACTGTGCCACCCAGGTGCCCTGACCAACTTTTAAATGTAGCTAAGGCATTTAATCCTTTAAATTTGAGTTGTTATAGAATAAAACAGTAAGTTTATAAAATAAGATTTTTTTTTTTAGGTTGAATTTAAAGGCTTAAAAAACATAAGGTTATAAAATGCTACTTTAAGAAACTTGGACCGTTCCCAGGATTTCTAAATAGGTAGTTAATGAAGAGTTATGCAGTCACGTTAAGTTGCAATGCAGTTTCATGCAGTAATTGAAATGCTCAATTCCAACATAATAATCAAAACTTTCAAATTGATTTGACTTTGAGGATTGTCCTCTGCTCCAAGTTCTGGCTCACTGCAAATAAGAAGCCTTTTGTCATGCAATGGGGCTCTTCTCTTCTCTTTCTTTAGATTCGAGAGTACCTACCTTACATTCTGGCTAAACATAGTTTTTGAACACTACAGCATTAGAGCAAAATGGTGAAAGAAAACAAAAATACTTACTTGAACATTACCAAATGAGACTCTCATACGTGTTCTTTGGGTTCAAAACCCCACATTACTGGGAATCATCACCTCAAGTTCCCTTTATCTCTATTTCATCTTCCTTCATTAGAAGAAAGATCCTTAGTCCCTCCTTGGAAACTGGTAATATCCAGTTTTATTTGCTGAGATCTATTTAAAACCACCACCCCTACTTCCCTCCTCTACTCCCTCAGGTGGCTTTGACTCCACAACTGAGCTCACAAGCATGCCCTAGAACTAGCTCACTCCCTTTGTTTCATTAAGCTCCCTTGGGTTATCTTTTAAAATTCTATAAACTTGGTATGGGTGAGGGGTTTAAGAAGCATCACGTGGGTTTACCAATGAAGTGCTATTCATCAAGTAAATGGCATAAAATGCTTACTATT